CTGGCTTCAAACTCACTATGCAGCTGAGGAGTGGGGGCAGGAACACAGAAGTTTAGGGCTAGCCTGGGTTATATGAGACCCCCGTCTCAACAAAGAACAAACCAAACATTGGATTACATGTGCCTAGAATTAACACTGAAAAGAATAATATCAGTACCTGACCCCAGCCTCTTAACTTCCCATGAGACCAAAAGTGGGTACACAGGGACTCAGACAAGCACAGCAAGTGTGGAATGGCAGCCCTCCCAGACTGGAATGGCAGCCCTCCCAGACTGGAATGGCAGCCCTCCCAGACTGGAATGGCAGCCCTCCCAGACTGGAGTGTGCTGAGGCCAGTAACTGTAGCAGCAATAAGGTCTCTCTCAAATACGGCTGTATGCAGCCCAGGCTGGTATTACACTTTCCAGGTATTGGAGGATGACCATGAACTTATGATCTTCTTGCCTTTCCTGAGCTATCCCACTGGCCCTCAGGTCTCAAACTCGATCCTCCTGCCTCTGCCTCCTGAGTGCTGAGGTTCCAGGCATGTACCCCAACTGGACAGCCTCTTCTCTTTGTCCTTACATTTCCCCATGAAAGGAGTCACCATGATTGCACCTACCTTCCCTGGTTATTCACAGCATGAATATGAAAAGCCACCTTGGAGCTGCAGACCAGAAAGAGAACAAAACAGAAGTCAAGACTCTTGTTCAGCACTGGGTCAGAATCCTCTGAAATTCTTGCTTCTTCAGTGTAACTTCCCTAGACTGTGAAGGCCACTCAATCAAGTGATGTCTTACCATCTTATGTTGTTGTTGTTTGTTTTTAGACAGGGTCTTACTATATAGCTCTGGCTGTCCTAGAACTCACTATATAGACCAGACTAGCCTCGAACTCATAGAGATCCTCCTGCCTCTGCCTCCCAAGTTCTGGGATTAAAGGCCTGCGCCACTACAGCTCGAGAATCATCCTTGCTTAGTTATCTTAGATGTCTTCCTCAAGGTCCCATGACATCACCAGGTATGGAACCAGGATCTTATTCCATCCATGGCCCTGCATCTGTGCTGGTTCTCAAGTCTGCCTCAACTCTTGGCTATGCACAGACACAATATCCAATGCAGACTGACTGGGAGGGTCCTCTCCTGGCCCTGGGCTTCTGTTCCTCAGTGTCTACAGATGACTTGAATCTTCATCCTCTTTAGTACTCTTGGGTCAACTTGCCAACCCTGCTCTTTACCCAAGCAGAAGGTACTTTTGCCATTCAAAGTCCTCTGCTATGAAGGCACAGCAGGGTTAAGCATTCAGAACTGAAGAAGAACTTTCCTGCTTTCCCTCTGGGAGAAAAGGGTCTTTCTGAGACAGTCTCACTGTGTCACCTTGGCTGGCCTAGAACCTGCTCTGTAGATCAGGCTGGCCTCAAATGTGCAGTGATGCTCCTGCCTCTGCCTCCTGAGTGCTGAGATTACAGACATGTGCCACCATGCTCAGTCTTGGCTTACTCTTTCTGTAAACTTTTTTAAAAACATTTATTTTATGTATGTATGTATGTATGTATGTATGCATGCATGCATGTATGTATGTATGTATGTGTCTATACTATCTTGCACATGTAGAGGTCAGAGGACAACTTGCAGGAGTTAGTTAGTTATCTCCACCCACCATGTGGGTTCTGGGAACTGAATTCAGGTCATCAGGATTGGCAGTGAGTGATCTTACCTGGTAAGTCATCTTGCCAATTCAAGAAAGTTTTAAAATTGCATGTGCATATATAAGCTTAATTTCATGTCTTATAGCAAGAGCTAGTCAATCACACATGAGCTTCCTGTGTCTACTAATTGCTCCCTCTTCCTTCGTCTTCTAAGGGAAGATATGCTAATGTGATGAACTTAGGGACCTCAGTGAAGCCATCCTGGTGGAGGGAAGCGGTTATGATTTCAGACTGAAGACTGGCCTGGGAGACTTTCTTTTTGCTCAGTGATTTCTCCTTCTGCTTCCTCTAGCTAGGATGGTTCATTCTGGCCCCAGACACTTTACAGGTGGCATGGGCAAGAGCTGGAGGAGCAGAATGAACAGAATGACTGTCAGCCTGTGGTGACAGAGAAGGCCTCACTACCACAGCAACTAAGATTACTTGTCCAATCCCTCTACAAAGTGAGTGCTCTAAAATCAGCTGTGGAAGGCTCCCCACCTCACTTCAATCAGCACAGCTGGGGCTCTCCACAAAGGTCTTAAGGAACAGAGGTTACAAGGGGATTCCTCTGTTTCTCCATTTTCATAGCCAGGAAGTCTGGGAAGAGAGACCCGTAACAAGATGAAGGACTTGTACCAGCGTTCCGGCTCTTCCTTCCACTCAGGGAGCTGCAGCCATACACCAGAGCTCTTACTATATGTCAGTCAACTAACCTATCCACCAAATGTTCCTTTCTTACTACTCAGGACCCCAGATGTTAAAAAAATGTGGGGCACGCAGGAACAGGCAGTAGGGCAGAGCACACCCAGAAGTATTCTTTGTCTTTTGTTTTTTTAAAGACAGGGTGCCTTAGTATTATGTAGCTCTGACTTTTCATGTGGATCAGGCTGGCTCTAACTCACAGAGATCTACCTGCCTCTGCCTCCGAAGTGTTGGGATTAAAGGTGTGCGCCACCATGCCGGGCTAGAAGTATTCTTAAATAAACTTTCCAGTATTGGTCTTTGTATAAAACTGCACACACACAAAAAAATTGTCCTCTTGTGGGATGGAGGGTAGAATGCACTGAGTTCAAGAAAATTCTGCTATGGACAGACACAGCACAGTGCTGTAGAGGGGCATGCTGGGAGATGTGATAAGTGAACAAGGAGCCAGACTCCCTGCCACCTGAAGGGCAGGTGAGCTCCAGAGCAAGTCTCTGTCTCTGTCTCTGTCTCTGTCTCTGTCTCTCTCTCTGAGACAGGGTTTCTCTGTGTAGCCTGGTTATCCTGGAACTCACTCTATAGACCAGGCTGGCCTTGAACTCACAGAGATCTGCCTGCCTTGGCCTCCTAAGTGACACCTGACAGCAAGTCTCTTCATTAGTGATTATCTTCATGTGCCTAAATCTCCTGTCCCTCCCAACTCTACCTTTGAGGTTCCCCTGCTTTCACCTACTTATCTCTAGGACCAGGAACCACAGTTCTAGTATGAATCTGCCTCACATTCTAGTTTTCAAAACCTATGTAAGACTCTTCCTGATACAGCTTTTCCATCCTGATCGTGAATGATTTTCCTTCATCCTATTATTTTACTGGAACATTTCTCAAAAGGAGAGAAGGGTGGAATATAAATTATAAGGGACAAGGGGGTCTTTAATTTTTTCTTAATTTTCATAAAAAATACATAAAAGTATCAGCTATAGCTTACCGTATATCTGCTTTGAATGAAACCAATTCAGTGAATGCTAGCTCAGATTCCAGAGTATGCTCTGCTACCTCCTTGGCCTGTAAAACCAGCAACAAAACAATTAGCGTTCAAGCAGCAAAAGTATCTATATCACTGACAGGAAAGGCCCTTCTAAAAGGTGGCCAGTGCCCTTCCCTTCTATGTGACTACTTTGTATACCTCAAAAGATTAAAGTGAAAGCATCAGGTTATGGGGACAGGTGCCTGCTGGACTCACAGGAAACTGTACTTAGGCAGGGGCGCACTGGCATCTGATCTGCTGGAGAGATGGAGGCAGCCAGTTAGGCAGCTGGAGTGCTATTCGAGCACTGGCAATGTGCTGGGGAGGGACCAATGCCCTCAGTTTCTGCTAGACATTAAAAATATTCAAATAACTCAAGCTATAGATGATCAGGGGGAAAAAACGATGTGAGAATGTGTATTGAAGGACATCTCATGGATCTGCAGAGGCTTTCTACTATGCAGCAGCTAAAAGAGCTGAGGAAACCCACATCATTACCAGGATTCAAGTTCGGTAGGAAGGGGATGCCAAGGGGCTGTGACTACAGCTACAGTCCCTCTGAGATCTACATCATACACAACCTTTCCACTGTCAACTGGCTTCCTTCAGGAAAAGTCCTACTGGCTTTGGAAGGCATCAAGCCGTCTCTTCTCATCTTACTGGGTCAGATTTAGGAATCCAACTCAGCAGGGCAGGTTAACCGCAAAACAGCAAGGAAGAAACTGGTCAGAGAGCGAGTATATGCAGGCTTGCCTAAGAAAGGTAAGTCAGACTTTCTAGCCCATATTGAGTTTTAAACACTCAATTAGGAGAAAAAAACTACATAGCTCAAAATAAGCTTTACTAACTTCATTAAAATTCAGTGGAATAACCTTTTGTTTTCCTTTGACTTCTCAAAGTGTCCTGTCTATTAACCAAACGATGACTTTTCTTTTTAACACAAACAGGTGTTTATAAAGGCTCACAAAATAGTAGCAGCATGGCCACAGGCAGCAGCTGCTCAAGTGCTATCGGCTTAACTACCAAGGCCCTAACTCACACAAGTGAGTACTGCAAGGCATCCAAAGAACAAAACGGTTAGGGTGATTTACATTAAATAATAACTTCCAAAACAGAAACATGGTACTCAAATTACCTTTGCCAGACTGCAAGTTTTAGCATAACATGCAATGGCAGCCAAAACAGCCTCAATAACAGCAGCATATATCTGGGATAAGAGCCTACTTTAAAAACAAAAAATAATGGTTAATAGAGTATCACAAAGTCTCATAAAAAACTGTATGCCTGGGGCAGAAGAGATGGCTCAGTAGTTAAGAGCACTGGCTGCTCTTCCAAGAGGACCAGGGTTCAATTCCCAGCACCAGCACAGCAGCTCACAGCTGTCTGTAAAGACAGTTCCAGGGGATCAGATGTCATTTTCTTGACTTCAAAGGCGCTGCACACACATGGCACACAACACAGAAGCAGACAGAACACTTACCCACATAAAATAAATTTTAAAAATATTCTTTAAGAAAAGTTCTATGCCCATAAACGGTGCTCCATAAGGATCTTTTAAAAAAGATGGGGTCTTGTATGTAAGGCAGGCCTCAAACTATCTTCTTGCCTTCTAAACTGCTGGTATTACAGGCATAAAGCACCATGCCTGCCTCCCAAGAAATCAACTTTTTGTTTGTTGTTTTTCTTGAGACAGGGTTTCTCTGTGTAGTTTTGGTGCCTGTCCTGGATCTCGCTCTGTAGACCAGGCTGGCCTTGAACTCACAGAGATCTGCCTGGCTCTGCCTTCCGAGTGCTAGGATTAAAGGCGTGCGCCACCACTGCCCAGTGAGAAATCAACTTTTAATAATGGTTTTAAATAAACCAAGAAAAGTGTCAAAATGGAACTAACTGAAAAACGGAATTCTAAATTCATGTCAAAAGAGACTCTCAACTTTAACTCATAGCTCCTTACACCAGGTGCTGGCAACTGAACCTGGGTCCTCTGGAAGAGCAGCCAGTGCTCTTAACCACTAAACTATCTCTCCAGACTGTGTTTTTGTTTTCATTTTGTCAGGGTCTTACTCCATACACTGGTGTAGAATTCACAATGCAGATCACGTTGGCCTTAAACTTGCAGGATCTTCCTGACCCCATGTCCAAAGTGCTGAGATTATAGGTGTGCTACAACCTCCAGCTTCTGGGTTATTAATTTATTTATTGTGTCATATGTAGTAGTATTTGCTCTGCCCATGACCTTGGGCTATACAGCCCAAAGGAAGCAGTGCTTCCTGCCATTGTAAGTGACCTCTGATAAGGGGTTGGAGAAGAGTCACATGGAGGAGGTGGATTGGCTCCTGGTCAGATCAGAGGATGACTTCTGATGTCTACTCCACTCTGTAATTGTGAGTGTATTTCCTCAATTTATATCTTAATAAATTCTGTTACCCATTTAATAGACTCACATGGATTGAATCGTAATAGTCTGTACATCTTTTTTTATACTTATATACCCAGAGTCTTAAATTTTTCTTGGGGGAAAAAAAGGATTGTTGGGCTAGAGAGATGGCTCAGCAGTTAAGAGCACTTGCTGCTCTGACCGAGGACCTGGGCTTGATTCCCAGCACCTACAAGGTGGCTCACAACCATCTCTAACTCCAGTTCTAAGGGATCTGAGGGCTCCTTCTAGTTCCACAAGTACCAGGTATATATGAGGTACATATATATACATTCAGGCAAAACACTTACATACATAAAATTAAAAAAAATAGAAAAAGGTTGGTTGAGTGGAAAAAGTTTAAGAAGCCCCACTTTAAAAAAAAAAAAGGAACTTTAAACTTTCTTAAAGTCATGTATTTATTTGCTATACTCTACTCTTGTTTAATTTTTTTTTTTTTTTAAGACAGTGCCTTACCTCACCATGTAGCCCTAGGTGGTTTGGAACTCACTATATAGACCAGGTTGGCCTTAAACTCACAGAGATCCACCAGTCTCTGCCTCAAGTGCTGGGATTCCAAGCAAGCTTTACTATGCCCAACTAAACCTTCTCAAGAAGAACAGGAACAACAATGGGCTGGACAGACAGCTCAGGAATTAAGAGCACAAACTGCTCTGACGGAGGCCCTGAACTTGGTCTCCAGCACTCATGTTAGACGCCTCACAACCAGTGGGAACGCCAGCTCCGGGGCTCTGACATCTCTGGCCTCCTTGGGCATCTGAACTCATGTGCACATACTCATACAGACACACAAATACACCTAATTAAAAATGATAAAAAAGACACCTAATTAAAAATGATAAAAAAAAAGTCTTTAAAAATAAAGGAAAATAAAATAAAAAACTAGTTAGCTCAACAGTGAAAGAGCAACTTTCCCTATTTGTGAGCAAGAACAGCTTTATTCTTAACAACAAAATTAATAGACGCCCCCCACCCCCAGACTGTGAACAAGAACAACTCCTCAGACACAGGGATTCCTGTGTACTGATACAGACGTAAGGTCTTTCCAGAAACACCACCACACTCCTTCCTCTCTGTCTTCTCCCCACTAGACGTGCTGAAGGTCTGCCATATTATCAACTCAGGATGGGAATGTCAGCAAAGTAAAGGGTGAGTTGAAAAGAAACAGGGGCAGGCCACTCCCCAAGCAGCTTGTCGGGTTAAGGATGCCCAGGCTCTTCTTGATTAGGACAACTGTAGAGAAAAGGGGCTCATTCATCAGACCCTGAAAGGAAAGAGAACTTGCCTAAGGAGGAATTACCAGGACCTCTCAGAGAATACATGTATTGAAATCTGTGAGACTCTTCTAATGGGTTAATGTCTCTCCAAGCACAACACGTTGTCTACGGCCAAAGACTCACAGCAAACCTGAACTTGGCTCTCATCTTGGTGCCACACTGCACTGCCATCTCCTTCAATTCCTGTCTCACACCTCCACTTTACAGGTCATAAATCAGAGTTGCAGAAGAAAGAGGAACAAATTAGTTCAAGTAACAAAATGACAAGCCAGGCAGGGTGGCGCACGCCTTTAATCCCAGCACTGAGGAGGCAGAGGCAGGCCAGTCTCTGAGTTTGAGGTCAGCCTGGTCTACATAGTAAGTTCCAGGCCAGTCACAGCTACATAGTAGGACCCTGTAGGACATGCTAAAGAGACATAGGCAGGAAGACCACCAGTTGAGACCAGCACAGACAACACATTTTGGGCTGGAGAGATTGCTGAGTGGTTAAGAACACCCACAGCTCTTGTAGAGAACCTGGCTTGGATTCCCAGCACTCAGGTAAGGCAGCTCACAACCACCAAGGGATCCAACACACTCTTCTGGCTTCCTTGAAATGAGAAAGAAATGGCAACTCCACATATCAGTACCTCCTGGTCGTTGGCCAGGCCAGAGCAGAGGGTGTGGTGGTAGGAAGGGCCTGGCAGGTACACTAACAATGAGTTTGTCCACTTCTGGGTGAGATTAGAAAGATTTCTACATACCACAACACTTGAGAGAATGATTTATGTTTTTTGTTGTTATTGTTTTGTTTTTGAGGCAGGGGATCATGAGCCACAAGCCAGCCCTGAAGTTGGTATGTAGCCAGGACTGATTTGAACCATCTGGAACCTCCTTGAATGCAAATATGGAGATACAGGTGTGTGCTACCAGACTGGATGGGGTCAAGTTATACAAAGACTAAACTTCAAGACATACAAAGATACCGCCATTACTGCCTTGGTTCAATATCACTCAGTTCAACACTGGCTAAGGACCCCCTCCCCTCTGCACTTCCTTGATTCAAATATCACTCCATCTAATACTAGCTACTCTGCTTTACTTAGCCTGCCCAGAACTTTAGACAAACCCTCAATACAGAAACCAGTACCTGACTACTAAGCCACCTAACGGCCCGTGTAGTGTTGGTGTCACCTTCACCAGGATCCCACCAAGTCCAGGTCCCCACTAGCACTGTGATCTGGAATATCTGACATGGCTCTAAGTACCCCTTAATATTAACCCTGGATGCAAGGTAGAGCAGACATCAGCCAGCTACCAAGGAAGCAAGACATGTAGAAAATAAGGTAACAAGCCATGAACCTCGTGGAAAAGCACAGATAAGAAACATGGGTTAATTTAAGTGTAAGAGTTAATAATAAGCCTGAGTTACCAGCCGAGCATTTATAAGTAATATTAAGCCTCTGAGTGGTTATTTAGGAAAGGGTAGGAGGGAGGGAACGTCTGCTTACAGACAACTTTTGGTAGTCAGTTATGTCCTTTCACCTGCCTGGGGCAGGGTCTTTCTGGTTGTTCTGCTGCTCTGTGTATGCTCTGCTAGTTGGCCCATGAGCCTCTAGGCACTTCCTCTGTCTCTGCCTCCTATCTTGACAGAAGAATACTGGAATTACAGAGGCAAGCCATGGCATCCAGATTTTTGTGGGTTCTGGGAATAGAATTCAGGTCATTCAGCTTGCTCAAAAAGTGCTTTTAACCTGTTAAGTCATTGCTGGCCCTTTTATTTTTCATTTAAAAAACATTTATTGATTGATTTGTATATGGGAGGGTATGCAGCCTGCACCCATGTTGTAGAGCAATATGAAATAGTCAATCCTAGAGGGAATGCTCATCAACTCAGGGAATTCTATTTTTAAATTTTATTCTCTTTACTTATTTTTTTTTTTTTTGGTTTTTTTATTGTTTAATTTTATTTTTTTTTGGCTTTTTGAGACAGAGTTTCTTTGTGTAGCCCTGGCTGTCCTGGAGCTCAGTCTCTACACCAGGTTGGCCTTGAACCCAGAGATCCACCTGCCTCTGCATCTGAGTCCTGGGCAAGACAGGAAATTCTAAAGGAAAGTTGATGAAGACTCAGAGAGTAAACAACTTGTTAAGTCTCAGAAGTCCTTGAAACTGACCAGTGCACAAGGCCTCTCCATCTCCAGGGTTATGTGTCCTCAGGGCTGTTGAGGAGACTCTCCAATCTGTTGAGCTTTATCACCCAAGCTGGAATGGGCAGTCAGTGACCCAGCTCTAGCTGTTTAGGAGTCATCCATGCTTCTATAAGTAACCTCAATAAACAAACTGGCTTACCAAGTCGAACTTTTGTGGTAAAGTGAGTACATGTTTATTTGTGTCTCCCAGGAACAGTGTCACACAACAGGGCACCATATGCATGTAAAGGTCAGAGAACAACTCAAGAGAGTTGGTTCTCTCCTTCTCTCTGGATTCTAGGGACCACAGGCTTGGCAGTGAGCACTCTTACTTGCTGAGATATCTTGCTCCCTCTCTCTTTTTAATTTTTATGTTTTGGCCAGGTATTTTATCATGGTGACAAGGAAAGTAACTAATACAACCATGTCTCAAGAAAAAGAAATGTAGTGAGCAGAAAGTCAGGTACAGTAAGCAGACTGTCACATGCAGTCAGCAATGTCATGGGTAGTGCCTCATGTCTGTTGTTGGAGAAGCTTCACTATGACCAATGCATGGTCTTTGAGAGCTTGGTTGGAGAGTCTAACAGGAGAGTGCGATACTTGTACTCCCTGGACTGACTATCACTGCCTTCCAACTGGAGAGGGAAGTCATCATTTTGCAGAGTACACAGCCTTTATAGGAAGGGGATGGCACTGTCTAACCAGGCAGACTAACCAAACCAACCCTGAAGAGGCAGGTGGATCTCTGTGATTTCAAGCCAGCCTGGGCTACAGAGTGCGTTCCAGGAAAGGCGCAAAGCTACACAGAGAAGCCCTCTCTCGAAAAACCAAAAAACCAACAAACAAAAATGAAAAAAAAAAAAAACCAAAGCAACCCTGATATTCAACAGGAATGCTGCAGCCAGACTACCCTCATACACAGAAACCTAGCTCATTGCGCATTGTGCTGGAGCCCACTAGGTTTCTTAGTGGCTATACCCAGCAGGACTGCATAAGAGGTTGACTGGACCATGGGCCTGGGTACCAGGTGACTGTAACTAGCAAGGTGGAGGTCTTTTGCTCTACCCCTTGGCATTGTTATAAAAGACCTTTGGAGTAAAGTTCTAGGCTGGTGGATAAGGATCCAGGCCCACCCGAGTCTATCCTGTGTTTTCTCTCTGTTCCTCTCCTTTCTATTTCTAACTAAGTCTCTTAACCCTCATTTCTCAAGAGTTCCTGGAGTAAATAAGTGTGGGGACTGGTCCACCACAGCAGTGATCTATAGACAACTATTGTGGCCAATCCCTGCTGGCCTTTGAAAGAAGTGGTTTAGAACTCTCAGTTATGGTGGGCACTCGGGTGAAGAGGATACCTTTATTCTTCCTTTATGTAAAGGGAAGGAAGTCAATACTAAGTAGGGCCTCTCTAAAGTTACACAGATGATATTTAGAACACAGCTTTGTTCTACAAGCCTGAATGTCAAGTCCAGAGGAAACACTCTTCAGACCAGATGAGATAACAGATTGCAGATTCCCAAGGAATTGCAGAATGTTTTGTTTTGGGAAAAAAACTCAATTGAACATGTTTTACTGTGTATAAAAGGAAGTTATCTCATTTAAATGTATGGGAGCACACACAGGAAGTCTGGGAGGAGGTCCAGAGGGAGGAGTAGATGGCAAAGCTTGCAAAGTCCTCTGGCCTAGGTTCCAGCTGAGAGGTTCTGAGGCTTGACTGGAAAATGCACAGCAATGTCTCCTCATTAGCAGGCATCCTAATCACTCAAGGGGAAGCAGGAGAGCCACAGAGAGAAACTCATTTTCGAGAGAAGAAATAAAACTAGCACAGGACTTACATTTGTTCAGTTGTCCTGGGCAGCTTGTCTTCGTCACCTGGAAAGGGAAAAGTTTCCTTTGAAGTTACACACAGCAGCTGCACAGACATCAGTGGGCCTATCTTCTTGAACTTTGACTCCCTGTCCGTTTTTCAACTCATTCCACAGAATCTTAGGCTCTCGGATGTTTTGAATTTTAGAAAAAAATTAACATTGAGGTTCTGCTGACCCCTCCCCTGTATTTCCTAATCTGACCTAAGTAATTTTTCTTTCTAGAGTTTCCTGATTTCTGTATCAATGGCTTCGGATGTACTGACCTTTGGGAAGCAATGCTGGGAGCCACACTCAATTCACAAGTTTTCCCCATTTCTCTTTGGATACCTGAAGCTTCCGAGTACCCCAGCAAGCAAGGTCCTTGTGCTCAGCCAGCCTTCCTGAAGGACATGGCCGCAGGTCCTCAGCTATGGGGTGTCCTATCACGGCCAATTCTCCCTCTTCTCACAAAAGCAATTAGGCAGACTTCAGCCATGTTACCCAAAGTCACACTGTCGCCCACATCCCCTGGTATCTCCAACTAAGCCTCAGTAATCTTCGACTTTCTTCTGACACTGAGCGCAGGGCACATACGGCTAGACCTCAAACTATAGGATGAACCAAAGGTTTCTCTCCTAAAACACATTCTGTGAGGAACGAGTTAGACACATCAGTTTTCAAGTTGCAATCAGGAAGGGGGTCAAGGCCCACAAGATGTATTTTGCATAAATTAGTAAATCGTGTGTTAACTTCTCCTTCGCGGGAGGAACCATTAGGTATTTACAGGGACTTACCCAAGTACGGAACATGAGTAGCACCAAAAAAGTACGTCCTTGAACACGCCAGAGGCCCCTTTGGTGAGACACACTGGGCGACCTGAGTATCAGAGGGAAAGGAAGATGAATGTACTAGGAGCTGGTGAGTTGGCTCAGTGAGTAACCACGCTCACCTCACAAGCCCAGCCATCTGACTTCCTTCCCAAGACCCAGGCAGAGATGGAGAGAGAGAACAGACTGCACAAGGTTGTCCTCTGGCCTCCACTCAGGTGCCGAGGCACATGCATGGCCCCATCCCACTTCATGAATATACACACAATAATCCAACTTTTAAAAGGGAGCACACTTGGCCAGGCAGTGGTGAGCCAGGTGGATCTGTGAGTTCAAGGCCAGCCTGGTCTACAGAGTGAGATCCAGGACAGGCTCCAAAACACAGAGAAACCCTGTCTCGATAAAATAAAAAAAAAAAAAAAAAGGAAACTTAGACATGTGATGCTGGAGAAACAAAAAACAAATAGTGAATGAAATAAAGTTTATTTAACTGAAACATTTAATTTTTTAAGACAAAGACTCCTTAATTTGATTTAAACAACAGTATTATGTATTCATTTTAAGTTTGATTTTATTTATATTTATTTATTTGTGTGAGAGGTACATACAGGTATACTATAGTGAAATTCAGACAACAGTTTTTGGAGTTGGTTTTCCTCTTTTACCACATGAATTCAGGGGTGTCCTGGTTATCTTTAACCGTCAGTCTGACACAGCCTAAACTCACCTGGGAAGAGAGTCTCAATCGAGGGACTGCAAAGATTAGATTGGCCTGTGGGGTATGTCTGTAGGGGAACCACTAGCAGAGAGAAGAGAGTCCATCCTACTGTGGGCAGTGGTCTTAGGCCGTGTAAGAAAGCTAGCTAAGCATGTGAGGAGATCAGCAAGCAGTGCTCTCCAGAGTCTCCACTTCAACTTCCGGCTTGAGTTCCTGTCCCAGCTTCACTTAAAGATGAACTGTGATCTCAAAGTATAAGTCAAATAAATCCTTTCCCTCTCTAAATTGCTTTGGTCAGTGTTTTTGTTTGTTTGTTTTTGAGACAGGGTTTCTCTGTGTAGCCCTGGCTGTCCTGGAACTTGCTCTGTAGACCAGGCTGACCTCAAACTGAGAGATCTGCCTGCCTCTGCCTCCCAAGTGCTGGGATTAAAGGCTTGGTCAGTGTTTTTTGTTTTTAAATAAAGATTTACTTTTATTATTTATTAATTGTGCATGTGTATCTTATCTATGTGGGAGTATGTATGTATGAGTGCAGTACCTTAGGAAGCCAGAAGCCAGAGGCCTAGGAACTCCTGGAACTACAATTATAGGCAGTGCTGAATCTCCATGTGGTTGCTGGGAATCCAACTCAGATCATCTGGAAGAACAGCCAGTACTCTTAACCACTGAGCCATCTCTCCAGACCACTGCTCAGAGTTTTATCACAACAGAAGGAAAAACAGAATACAGGGATCGAACTTGGATCGTCAGGCTGGGCAGCAGTCGACTTGAGCTGCTAAGCCCTATCATCAGCCCTCGGTGTTCACTGCTGTTTTCCCCACTTTGGCTACACTGTGAGGTTGCTGTTGGGTAGTCAGCCCAGGACACTAATGAATTTACACCTCATGAGGAAAAAGCAGGCAACGTGTTTGGGTCTGGGCTGCCATTATCATTCAGCCCAGAGAATTCAGAAAATTCACATGGCCCACATGACACAGGGACATAAGGGGACAGCTATAAATTCCCAACTTCCTTTGAACTTCATCTCTGCATGTTTGGGGCTGGAGAGA